TCTATCACCTTTAACTGTCTGAATTAAATCAAAATTAAGGACCAAGTCAACATATGTTTATAGTGAATAAACTCTTCAATATAGCAACTTTACCCTTCAGGATGGGGAGTTAGAAGGAGTTGGGGAGGGAGGAATAGGTAATTAGAAGAAGGATAGGGGAAGGTTAGCAGTGCGGCTAGAGGGCATAGGCGAGAGAAGGAAAGAGAAGAAAAGAAAGAGAAGAAATACGAATCGGGCAGAACAGGTGCACAAAGGGAGATGACGAACAATGTGGGACAGCAAGGGAGCAAGGCAGAGAGAGAGAAAGAAAAGAGAAAAGAAAGGAAAAAGAAAAAAAATTTAAAAGAGTAGCAAAGAAAAAAATTAAAGATAAGAGCAAAAAAATAGTGGTAGTTTTGAAAATAACAAATAGATAAAAATGCAGGGCCTCCTTCAGGGTATGTCTCTGCTGTCACAATAGACAATGTGGGCAGCAGTGCGCAGTTATAAGTCAATGAGTCTCAGTAAGCCAGTCACAGACTCGTGAGATTCAGGCAGATTTCTGGCTGCAAGTCCCAAGTTGAACTCCTTGTCCTTCTGCAGGGTTGGACTCTGCAAGGTTCTACTGCAGGTTCCAGCTGCCTTTCGCCTGAAGATAGTCCAGGTTCTGATGGGAGGTGATGATCCCTCCAACTTACCAAGCACATTGGTCTGGTGTGCCTTTATTGAAGAGATTCTCTTCACTTTTCCAGTGGGCTTCAGTTTTCATCAGGGAGCCTGAGAGAGGCCCTCTCTCTGTTGTTCACTTCTGCAGCTCAGGACAATCGCTTTTATGCTCCCCTGTGCCTCTGTAGTATGGATCCAAGTAGCTGTATAGCCAAGAGTCGGAGCGGGGGGCAAGCTGGAGGCTGGTGGGCGTGCCCGGGGGTCCTCACCTGCTTGGTCTCCTGGTCGAAAGTGGGCGGAGTGAGCCTGACAGCAGGGCGCACTCAGCCCGTGCCTGTTCTGCCCAGGTGCATGGCCAAGCTGGAGGCTGGTGGGCGTCCCCTTTTTATTTTTAAGACAGGGTCTCTAAGTCACCCAGTCTGGCCTTAAACTTGTGATCCTGCCTCCTGCCTCAATCTTCCAAGTAGGCACGCACTGTAACACTCACCTGAGCCCTAGTTTTATTTTTAGGTTACATTATTGTATTTAGTATTATCTTTTCATTTTTCCTATGATAGTAATAACACTGTTGTTGTTGGTTCTAGTTGGAGCATCAGAATTTCCATGGGTAAGTTGTACTTTGTGTTTCAATTTTCCATTCCTTTTTGGTTTGTGTCTTGTTAGCAGTAGATCTCTTTTTTCCTAAACAGAATCTCCCCCCCAACCCCTCCCCCTGTACCGGGGACCAAACTTAGGACCTTGCACTTGCAAGGCAGTTGCAGTGCCACTGAGCTACCTCCCCCACCCCCTTTTGGAGACAGGGTCTTGCTGTGTAGTTCAGGGTGGCCTTGAACTCACTGTGTAGCCCAGGCTTCCCTTGAACTCCCATCGGTCCTTTTGCTTCAGCCTCTTGAGTGCTGGAAGTATGGGTGTCTGCCACCACACCTGGCCCTGTGTAGAAATTTTTAAAGAGAAACAGTAGGGTTTAAATAGTAAGAAAACCATGTGTACTTTGGAGTTGAAGGACCTAAATCTGAACCTGGTTCTGTTAATAACTAGCTCTGCTTGAGCAAGTTACTTTAGTCTTTGAGTCTTGCTTTCTTCAGAACTATCATAAAGATAAGGGATATTGTATCCTCCTCTTTCTCCTCTCAGTGAGCTGTCAGATGAAAGGATGTCCTCACAGAAGAGCATCCTCTTTTATAATGTTAGTGGGTACCACATGGTCAGGTACTTATCTTCACTGGCTTAGGCATTCCTTCACTGCAGAGATGCTGGTCTGTGTCTTATCCATTGGGCAGGAGGTAGTACAGAGTAGTGAGAGGGAACATGGGCTCCAGAGCCACACTGCTCAGGTTGGAATTCTGGCTCCACTTCTCATCAGCTGTATGAACTTTGATGTTTCCTTGGCACAGTAGCTACCTTATAGGGGTTTTGTGAGGATTCAGTGAGTTCACTTGTGTAAGGTGCTGAGAATGTATTTGGCTGTTATTGTTAGCTGTTGTGCTACTGTCTTGAGGGGAACTTGTTGCTTAGGGGTCTGGAAACATTGAAGGTACCCTGAATGACAGATAATGTTTGGATAGAGTACTGTCTGCAATTCGGATGGGTAGAGTGTCCGGTTTGAAAATCCGGTTTTGAAAATTTCCTCTGTCAATATTCCTGATAAACTCGAAAGTTCCTGTGGGTAAGACCCCAGCTAGTGCTGAGAGACACAGATGTCCAGTCCCTCTCTAGGAATAATGAACTGTTTTACTTCCTTTCAGTATTCCCGCATAATCTCTGAGGTAGGCAAGTCAGGTATAGAGATGTGATTACATTTTAAAATAATGGTGTAGGGCCGGGGATTTAGCTCAGTGGTTCTGGTGCCTGCCTTGCCAAGCGCAAGGTCCCGAGTCCGATCCCTGATACCAACAAAACAAAACAAAAACAAAAAATAATGGTGTAGACTCTAGGAAGGAAAACAATTTGCTTAGGTTTGCACAGCCATTTGGTAACTAAGCTCCAGGCTTCTTTGTACTTAAGTCTGTGTTCTTTATGGTAACTTGGTCTTACTCTGCTTTGATGGAGTTTCTAGGGGGTACCGTTACTGGGTTACTGGGGTTTCACCTGTGATCCAGGTATTGTGACCATGGTGTGAGAGTGGCAGCCAGTGCCTTTCTGGCTCAGGGAGCTGTCAGAGGCTGTGGTACTTGCTCCAGGGCCAGAGGTGGGCCTGATGCACCTCTATGAATGATAATAGTAATAATAAAAAAAAGAAACAGGGACTGGGGATTTAGCTCAGTGGTGCCCACCACCTGCCTCGCAAGCGCAAGGTCCCGAGTTCAATCTCGGTACCAAAAAAATAAAAATAAAAAAATAAAATAACCAAAAAAGAAGAAACAAAGTGTTGCTTACCCTATTGAGAGTGGCTAGAAGTGACTTTGTGAACATCTCTGATTTCAGTAGAGAGATACTCTTACTCTTTCTTATTTCTCACCATGGTTTGTTTTTCTGTCGTGTGCTGTGGTAGTGTACCTGATTTTAGGGTCAAATCTATTGTGAATTTCTTCTGAATATCACTGACTTAACTGCAGTTCATTTATTTGTCCATTAATTCATTTATTAATAAATACTTCATGTCTCCTGTGAATAGTCAGAATTCCTTTTGCTTGTGGTGCTTATATTGTATCGGGAGGTAGACACGTGAGTGAAATTTGTGACACGTCAGAGATCGTGTTAAGTGCTGTAGAAAAAACAGTAAAGAACTCCACTGTTCATCAGCTCTGATTCCTTAGACTTCTGGGATTTTACAAAGTGTATCCTTGGAAGTCTTGAAAGCCCATAAAGGGGAAAAATTGCTTCTTACAATGTAGGTTTTGTATGTCTCATAGAACTGTAAGTATTTTATTTTATTTATTTATTGGTACCAGAGATAGAACTTGGGTCCTTGTGCCCTGCGCAGCAGGTGGCAAAACCACTGAGCTAAATCCCTGGCCCCACTATAAGTATTTTAAAGAGCTAATCTTTCATATTATGTTTATTTCCTCTGGTTTTTAATTGTCTTGAGGATGTTACAGTCTTCCTTGGGAGTTTTATTTTATTCTATTTTTAAAACTAGAACAAATCTCTGAACAGAGATGGGCTCACAGTTGGAGCCCAGTTTGGTGTAGAGTTTGGCACTTTGATGCAGCTGGAAGTTTGGCAGCTGACCAGGACTGTGTATTTTCTAGTTAACATGTATCTTTTTTTGCCCAGTTAATTGTGGTGTTTTTCAGGCAAATCAATATTAACCATAGGTTTTAGGGCAAGATCTTGTACATCTAGAAGAGATTCAGTATTATCTGCAGTCCCTCATTTTACACGGAGAAACGGGAGGCCAGTGCTGTGAAGACTAGCAATATTGTAGGTCAAGCACCCAATTTATTCCTCACTTAGGTAGTTACTTGGAGGGACCAAAGAAAATGGCCTTGAGGTGGATCTGTAATGACTCAGAGCGGCCACTAGATGGTAGAAAAACAGCAAGAAAAGTCTGGACTGTTAGGCACTTTGGACTTAGCAAAGTTTCTTGAGTTTCTCACTGTTCCTAAGAGGAGAGTACACTGTGAAATTTCTGGGCAAAGAGCCTGCTGCTCATAGCCATCATCATCATCATCATCATCATCATCATCATCATCATTATCATCATCATCATCATTATTATTATTTGAGACACGGTCTTGCTATGTAGTTCAGACTGGCCTTGAACTCACTCTGTAGCCTTTGCTGGTTTCAAACTTGCAGTGATCCTCCTGCCTCAGTCTCCCCAGTTCTGGGGTTACAGGTGTGTGCCACTACACCTGGTTATTTTTAAATTTTTAAATTTTTAGTTTTGGTACTAGGCATCAAACTCAGGACCTTGCACTTGCAAGGCAGGCACAGTGCCACTGAGCTAAATTCCCAGCCCTTCCATAGCCATTCTATACCAGTAGTCTGTGCTTGGATACCTCTACTATCCTTCAAAGCCAGTGATCATTCTTCATGTTTCTCAAATAATTGCTGCCAATTCCCTGGACTCAAGTCTGCTTGATTCTTAGGAAATTGCCTACTTTTCAGGTAACCTTCAGCCAAGATTAGTCTTCATTCTCCTTTAAAATTTTAATTTTTTTTTTTGGTACTGGGGATCGAACTCGGGTCCTTGTGCTTGCGCAACAGGCGATGAAACCACTGAGCTAAATCCCTGGCCCTAAAATTTTAATTTTTAATTTTTAAAATTTGGATCATGATTAAGCCTTGGTATAGACTCTGTCTTTGGGAAGCTTGAAGACCAATCCATCCTCTGTTGTAGACAGACATGTTCTATGCTTAGGAGTGGTATCAAAATTGGGCTGTCAAAGGAATAGTGAAATATCTGTGTGTGAATTGGGGCTTAGGGAATTGCTTTATTTCAGGACTGTAGAGAAGTTTAGGTTGGTTGGAATGTGTGCTTGCAGAGAAGTCCTCTTCGAGGCATTCTTCGGGACCATAGACCATATGACCTCCACGTTTTCATAAGGTTTTGAGCTGAGATGACCAGAATGGGGCAGTAGGGAGGATGTTTAGCTTTTTCTTGGTCCATTCAGGAAGATTCCTATAGTTTGGTTTCTCTCCGATCCCATTTTCTTCCAAGGAGGACAGTTGTGTGTCTGTTAGAGTGGAGGCTCCCTAGTTCACAAAGATCTGTGAGGAGAGGATAGGAAAGCAGATGAGTTGGAGGAAGGTTGGTAAGTTCTTGGGCTGAAAGTAGCCTGGAGAGATTGTGTGGTCACCTAATGAATGACCTACCTAATGGGGGAAGGTAAACCTCTAGTCCTGAGATTCTGCCGCCAAGCTGAGAAGGGTTGGGCAGGCCTGAACCTTAGACAGAAAGTAAATGGACCCTGGCCTTTCCAGATCTGGCTCTGCAGTGCACAGGGAACCAGCTGGTTCTGGGCTCACACAGTCTGATGATCTTACTGAGTCTCTCATCTTTTCTGATGTTTGAGCCTATCCTTGAATCCAGTATGATATTGAGCACATAGTTAGTTGAGGTATTTGAAGAGAAGAAAGAGAGGGAGAAGCATATGTCAGGAATGCAAAAGAAACCAACAGGGGGAAAGCACCAGGATCACAATACCATCTGTTTATAAAGTTGTAATAAAATGCTCTCATGCTCATCTCCATAAAGGCCCATGAGGCTGGTAGAGCAGGTATTTATTTTATAAATGAGAAAACTGGTTTAGAGTTGGGCTTCTATAAGATTTCACAGGTTGAACCAGCCCTTTGGCTCTGAAACAAATGCTCCCCCTGCTTTTGTATGAGTGATGCCTTTTCTAGCTCCAGGGAGTTCTAAGGGCAAGAAGACGAGTGCTGACCTTCCACTAAGTGGCCTGGTTCATCCTTAGCCCTTCTCATGGCCCTGTATTTGCTCCATGAAGCCACACAACTGATGGCAGGCTATTGATATCACTTGGTCAGATTGAGGTAGAAGTGACCCAGGAGATCAGTCTGACAGCTGTTGCTTTGACTTCAAGATTCAGGAGCCTGGATTTTTGCCTCCCTTCTATGAATTTTGCCCCTCAGATGTTAAAGGGAAGCAACTTCTCTCCCTTTGAGGTTGAGAAACTGAGAGTTTGGGAAGAAGGAGCACAGGGGAAAAAGCAGCTTTAGCATTACCTTAGAAGTTACAGCCTTTGGAATATAGTAGATGTAGATTCTACAACCTCCCTATGCCATCCAATAGGTGTGACTTTGGAAAAGTCCATTAGTGTCTCTGTGCTTTAGTTTCTTCATCCTAAATTTAAATAGTTCCTATGTGTAAAGTGAGAACTAGAGACATGTGCATGGAGAATGGTGTGTCATGAGTGTTCACCACATCCTACTTATCCATGGTCTTCCTGTGTGCTGCCACTGGCAGGCCCTTGACTGCCTTGTATTTGGGTAAGCTGAGAGCAGACATCCCAGCCCCAGGCCTGGTTCTTGGGAAGTTTACCCCAGGGGCTATAGAATCTGATGAATTTGTACTTTCCCAGGAGAAGGGGGAGGATGTCTTTAAACTTCTTGCTGGCTGCTGAGCCCTGGAACAAAGGGGAGACAAGCCCCAGGGCTGAGACAATAATGTCTTTATTATCTCAGATGTCTCAGGCCTGTCCCCCACCTAGAGATATACGGCTGGGAAGGCTAGCTCCATGGCCTCGGCGTGATTCCAGGTCCTAGGAATGTCTGGCTGTTTTATAGCAAACAGGATCACGCACAACAGCACAGCATCCAGGCATCTCCACCCCAGCGAGTGCATTCTCCTTGCCAACTTGTAAAACAGTGGGGCCTGTAGTAGTTTGATACAGGCCCCATGGCTCTTGAGGTCTGAGCAGCGTGGCACAAGGCAACAGTCCTGGGTTTTGGTGATCCCATCTAAGGCTTTGGGCACAGGGCCAGCAGTGCAAGCCTGGCAGTACCAGGGACCACCTTTGTTAGACCAGGCTCCAGCGGCTCAGTTCTCACTTGTGTGCTATGGGCTGCCTTGGTTCTAGCCTGTTTCTCTCCCTTTTGACCCTTTCGGGAGCAGCTGCAGGGAGCCACTGAGAGCACTTGTTTACAGATGCACTTGGCACAGGATGGGGAGACCAGCCTCGAAGCGTCCTTGAGTTGTAGTGTCCAGCTGCTCCCAGGTGCTGGGGAGCCTTCCACTCTTGGCCCCAAAGAAATGAGCCCACACTGTTGTCTTTGGCTAAAGCTTTAGGAACTTGGAGATGAGACCAAGGGACAGTGGGTCAGATGGCTGTCCAGGACTTCATTTGTAACCAAGCCGTATGGGCTGGCCCTCCGGAGAGGCCTTGTGCAGGGATCAAAGGTCACATACCCAGGCCAAGGCTCTTCTTTGGGGCCCTGAAAGGAGGAGCTAGTTAGTGTTGAAATTCAGGGACAGTAGTAGGAGATAGCTTAACCCATTTCCAAGACTCCTTTAATCTGGAGAAGGGAGGGGTCCAGGGAAACAGAGCTGTAGTGTTTTGGAATTTTAAAGGATTGGAGCTTCCTGTCGTCCTGCCTTTTGTTGGGGTTACTCTGTCATGTACCTGTATGGTGCTCATAGATGGTTGTGTTGCTTTTCTCCCCCTGGCCTGAATGCCTCATCAGTTCATGTGATCTTTATTCAGTGTTTCTACTTCCCAGACCCTCATATGAAATAGAAGTTCCAGATCCCCCTCTTTAGGAGCTCGAAGTTTTAGGGGAATATAGACATGTAAGAACTAGTGTGTATTCATGATGTGTCATATGCCTGAGGGAAACAAGCCTGTAAAAGGGTATTAACGCTTTTTTCTGTCAGGTATGTCTTCTGCTTAACTAAAGTTGGGGAGTCCACCTAGAACAACTGCTGGATCAGAATGCTTAGGATTGGGATGGAAGCATTCTTTCATATTCACAGTGGTCATAGCTAATGACCAAGGCCTGGGTGAGTGACCATCAGTGTGTGAAGACTTTGCATGCTTTATCCTGACCTGGCTCTGTGAGATGGCTGCTCTTTTCATTTCTATTTTGTAACTGAGGAAGCAGGTGAAACAACTTGCCCAATGTACATAGGTAGGAAGTAGTAGAGGTGGGGTTATTTTGACTCTAGACCTTTTAACTACTAGATTGTCTTGAGAGTAGTAGCATACCTGATGGACAGATGTGTAGATTTTTAAAAATCTCTTGCTTAGATTTTTTTTCTGCTGGTACTGGGGATGGAGCTCAGGACCTTTCGTTTTCGCAGCAGGCGCAGCACCACTGAGCTAAATCCCTGGCCCTAGATTTGGTTTTAGTCACAAGATTTATTTTGAAATGTCAGATGGAATGAACAAGGCAGGGTTTTGTGACTCATAGGAAGAGACTATAAGGGTTGAGAATTTCTTCCTTGCCCAGAAGCAGTTCCTTTGCAGGGAGAGCTGCATGGGATGCATAGGAGGGGAGCCTCGTGCCATTCTCTCTTGCTGCTGCTCCTGCTGGGGTCCTGTCAGACTGAGGGGACATGTTGCTGTAATTGAAAATGGGTGTGTGAGCAGCTTCCACCAGGAATCATATGTCATATTCTAGGTTCTAAGAGGACAGGGTTGAGGTACATGTATGTGGAGTGTTGCCATAGTCTTTGGCCCAGGTGGGAGAGGAGAGTACACGACCCAGGTCAGAAATGAAGGGAATGGGAGACGGGACTATTTATTGGACCACCTACCTGAGTTATGGCTCAGTTCTCATGGTAGCCTTCTGAAATGGTACAGATGGGAAAGCTGAGACTCATAAGGGTTAACTCATCTGAGGTCACCCAGCCAGGGAAGTCTAGAAGGGGTCCCATCCAGATTTGGACAACTTTGGCTCTCAGCCTTCTCCTGCCACGCCATGCTTGTTCAGAGGTCCCCTCTTCATACCTCTTCTGATTTGAGTGGTTGAGCTGCCCCCTCTCAGGCTTTCTCTTTCTAGATTGAGGCAGTCTGAGTTCATAGCAGCAGTCCCACATCCTCATGGTCACTTCTCTGGATCCACTCCAGCTCTATGATGAATCTGAGGGACAGCCACTTGCCCTGTCCTGGCTGTGATAACCATCAGCCATTCCTGAAGCTTTCCAGGTGGTTCCAGCTGCTGTCCAAGATGGAGATGGGGGAGGAGGCCCAGGCTGCAAGAGGTGCTGGGAAGAAGAGGGATAGAAGAACTCCAAGGGGAAGAGAGACTCAGCAAACCCTCATGTCAGCTAAACCTGATGCACCAGGAATACAGTGCCATCCTCCATACCTCAAAACACAGTTTTCCTCACTCTTAAAGGAAAGGCAGGTTCTGGCCAGTGACTACCATCAGCTTCCTTGACTGTGCTTCTCAATCCATGGAGCGTGTCCACAGTTGTGTTTCACCTAGTCTTCCTACAGCCAGAATGGTGGAGGTGGGTGGGGGTGGCAAGCTGTGTAGAACAGAGGCTTCAGATTAGTCCAGGCCTGGCCCTATATTATCTTCATCTCTGTTTTACAGATGAGATTGAGAGGTTTACTGACTTGCTTTAGAATTCACAAGCTGTCAGCAGTGGAGTTAGAATAAGGCCCCAGATCTCCCAGTGCCTAGAAAGAGGCTGCCTGAGGGATGGGGGATGAGAGGGAGATGCATCTGTAGGCCTCTGATTGGGTGCTGGTTAAAGTCCTGCTTAGAAAACTGCTTATTTCTGTGTGCTTATCTTTTTGTTTTCTTTCAGTGTCCTAGTAAAATACCTTTGAAAAAACACTTCCCTGTTTGGCTGAACTGAAGGGGGAAAGGACTTGTCATTTCATCTATACCTTGGTCCAGGCTAGTGTTCTAGGGCTGGGTGGGAAGCACCCCAAGAGGAGTTTGGACTGTGGGTTGTCAGCCTCTTTGGGCTGTGGGCAGGAACCTGACAGTCCATCTGGCAGGCTTGGACCTGGGCCTGAAGTCTTCTGCCACACCAGCCGAAGCAGGGTGGTGGGGAGGCCTGCTGTTTCCTGCTTTGACTTTGTCAGCCCTGGCAGTCAACTCCAGCTTCCCTCACCCTTTGGCCTTAAAGAGAGAGCTTTCTGCAAAGTAATGTGTAGGTCCCCAGCAGCATGTCAGAGTTCAGCTTGGCCCAGCCAGGGATAGATGATACTATTTTGTGAGGAGAAGGTGGGCTCAGGGTTCTATGGCCCCCTGGTCAGAGAGGACCAAAGGCAGGTCTAGGCCAGCAGTAAGGGAGGGTGGAGGCTTGTGGAGTAGGGAGAGGCTCTGGTGACCTTGCATCCTGACTAGAAGCCAAAAGGCCTGGGGGAGTCTCTTCCCTTCTGTGAGCCTCAGTCTCATCCCTGAAGCACAGATAAATTATGTATCTGCCTCTTGGCTGGCTTACCCAGTGGGGAATATTTATGTTCAGTTATGTGCTGGTGCCCATGCCCTGAGGTGATACTGGTATGGTGTTGTGATAAGTAAGTTCCTCTGTAAATGGTGGTGGTGCTGAGAACAGCTGATGAACACAGTGTCTTGAGGAGGTATGACCCACACAGGGAGACCGTGGCTGTTGCTTCCCTGGGTGGAAACTCCAGAGAGGCTGAAGTTCTACTGCAAAGTCTGTTTGTGGCCTTTGTTCTTGGCAGGAGACCTGTGAGGACTTGGAGGTTGAGGAGAAAGGGGTCTTGGGGTAGGTGAGAGACCACATTGAGAATGGAGAGTTTGGTTCTAAAAGAAGATACCCCCAGGCCTAGGGCTGATGCGGGTAGGATGGGTCTGGAATTCAGAAGCAGAGGTGCCTGAGAAGGATGGCCTGGTTTCATTTCTTGGTCCAGGACCACGTTGTGGCAGAACTTGTCCTAGGTCCTTCATCTCTTGGTGCCATCTGCCCCATTTGTCAATCTGTGGGTCTTGATTTGTTTCTTCTCCTGGATCCCCTTTGCCTTCTCTTCTTGGAAGTTCTACTGCAGCTTTGCCAAGTTTGACTGGGGCTAGATTCTGATCCTGCTCCAGGGTCCTACACATAATTGCTTTTCTTGCTAGACTGTGAGCTCCTTGACGGCAAGAGTAAGGTCTAAATTTTCTCTTGGTATGGATCCTGTGTCCTTAGGCTCTGATCAGAGGGTCTACCTCTCCTGGCTTCAATTGGGCTGGCCAAAGTGGCAGTGCCTTCTCTCTCACAGGTGGCATGGTGGAGGTGGGAGTGTGTGTTGAATCAGAATACATGGCTCCTTGTGTCTAGCTTCCTCTTCCCACTGACCCATGGTTTGGGAACAGTGGCTGCCTTTCTGGGGCAGCCAGAGTGCCTATCCAGAGTGTGCTCTGTCGGGCACTATCAGCTCTTCAGCAAGCCCTGGTCCCACTCTTAACCTAGCCTGGTCCCACTCTTAACCTAGAGAAGGCCCTGGGTTACTGATGTTGTTCTTGGCGGGCCACTGGGCCCTTCAGCAAACAGGGAGGCAAGTGTGCACCCGGCTTGGGCCTGTTTGTGTTGGCCTAGCCAGGCGGGGGATTAGCTCAGCTGGGCTGCTAATTGCCTCCGAAGTGCCGGCTGGGATGCTGATGAGGACTGGGTCTCTAATCCCCTCCTCCTCCAGCAGGCACAGTGCCAGCCTTCGTGGTCTGGCCCAGAAGGGCCCCTTCTCTCCCATGTCAGTGGTTGCTTGGCCTAGACCCTTGAGATGCAGGCAGGGGTTCACCAGGACTGATGGCTCAGGAAGAAATGGGTGGGGGGAGATGCCTATGAAATCATCTCCTGGGCCAAGCCAGGCACACTCCATACCTCTCCTTCACATCCTTTGCCAACCCTCCCACCCTTTCTGCATCAGATGCCTTCTGAAGCTCAGCACTTTCTCCTCTTACTAGGAAGCTGCTGGGCTCACCTCAGCCTCAGCCCTTAGGTCCCTCAGCACTTTTGTTTGCCTTCCCCCTGTATTCCTATCTCTCCTCCCTCCCTCTACATTTTCCTCACTTAAGTTTCAGCCCTTCTGACCCCCTCCCCACAGTTGCCCCATTCCTTCACTTTCCTTCTACACTGTTGCCCTCTGTTCTTGCTCTTGCTTGGCCTCTGGTTGACCTTAAGCTTGCCTCTGGTCCCTCTGTACTTTCTGGGGACTGCTTGTTGTCAGGACAGAGGCAGAGGGCAAGGGGTCCACTTTATCATTTTGTTTTTACAACTCTCCCTGAGTTCGGAGGGCAGCAGCTGTCCAGAATGGCATCTGGACACAGCCTCTGTGCCAGCTGACCCAGCTTGTGGGCCAAAAGCCTTCCGTCCCACAGGTGGAGCTCTTAGGGCCTGCTCTGCACCCATTGTTCGGCTCTGCCGCTTCCACCTCCACCTTTGACTGAGTGTTTTTGACCTCGGCTTCCTGACCTCATCCTTCTTCCCATAGTGGAACCTCAGCATAGTTCCTCCAGCTGGTGACTCAGGGAAGCTTTGTCCTAGTCTTGCTGGCTGCTGCCTGAGTATCCTGACCCCTGAGAGACTCTGCACCCCTATGTGGAGCTCTCTATCCTCAGAGATCTCCTGCTTCTGATGTCCAGGGTCAAATTCAGGGTGCCTGCCCCAGTCCCTAACCTGTTCCATGTTGTCTCTTTCTCGTTTTAACTCCTTAGTCTTCTAACTACCTTAACCCTCTCTCTTATGTTCCTGGAAAGGGAATAATAATATTTATAATCAAAGTTGCTGTTTGTTGATATATATATGTATGTATGTGTGTATATATATACATACATACATATATATATATAACCTAATTTAATATCTCCAAGAAATAGATTCTCTTATAGGGGAACGGGCACATTACAGATAAGGAAATCAATCCCAGAGATGACAATGAATTATCTGAGGTTCCATATAGTGAAGAACTGGCAATGGTGGGATCCAAACCCAGCTTGTTTGGTTTCAAAGCCTGGGACTTTCTCACAGTTCTAGAAAATAACTGGCCCTGGATACTGGCTTTTGTGTTCTACTGTCCTGGATTCTCAATATCCCCAGTCCCTTTTCATGCCTTGTACCTTCATTTGAGGATGAAGTGCCCTTTTTTATTCATCCCTACCTCAGACAGCATCTGCCCAGTTCTTCACAAATGGATTCATACCTTGCTGTCCTCAAAGTACTTTTCTTCAATCCTTTACCTCGCTAAGCTTTTGGAAAGCCAACCCTACAGCCTGACTGCTCTCAGGTGGTCCTTAGTCCCCTCACCTGCACTGGAGCAAGTGAAGGCGAGGCCCTGGGCTCCCTTGGTGAGGATGAATGAGAGATCCTGAGGAGCCACTAGGTCTCCTCATCAGCAGGGATCCTCTTGCGCTGAGGATTTTTACTTGTTCTCTGTTCCAACTCTGCATCCTTGACTGGTTCAAATCTTGGAGTTTACTTCTAGCCACAGGCCTTGGATTCCTTTGTCCCAGTGAGGAGCTAAGTTTAATTATCCCCTACCACCTGTGTCAGCACCCATTCATCAGATCCTTCTCTTCACATCAATACTCATTAAAGTTCTGATCAGCTTATTTAGGCCGAGGTTTAAGTTCAGTGAAATGCAGACAGCGACTGTGTGTTAGTTAATGGACTTTCAGACAGCAGTGGGCCTCAAAACTGTTCCCTCAGAAGAGCAAAGGCAAAGGGGACTTTCATATCTGTAGCATTTGCTATTTACTTGCTTTTCCTATGTCCTTCCCGAAGTCTATCTTCTTAATCTGTTTATTAAAAAAAGGTCACTATCACAGTTGCCAGATAAAGAAATAATCATTTTATCGTGCATCAGATTATGTCAAAAGGATGTCACAATGCCAAGAAGCCTAGTATAAAAACTGGGGGTTGGGGTGAGGCAGAAGAGTGGGTAGCAGCATCCAGAGCTGGGGTTTATCCAACCCTAGGCCTCAGAGGACCTCACTTTTGCTTTGGGACAGGAATAGTGAGGAGCAGTTCTGGCCAGTTTTCAGACCTGTGCACAGCCAAGAGAGGGCAGCCTATATCAGACCTTTGTCAGTTCTTACTCTTTTCTTTTTAAATTTAGGACAGCTTGCAGCTGGGGATGTAGCTTCTTTTTCCTATGGCTGTCGATTACATTGGCCTTGGCAGTGCTGGGTATGGCAATAGGCCTCGGCATTGGTTCCTAGAATGTGATCTGATTGATCTAGGCCACAACATTCAGAACCCCAGGACGATTGATCTACTTTGACGAGTTCCCTGGCAAGTGGGAATTTGAAGCCTGTGATCAGGCACATACCTTCTCCCTGTTTCCTGGGGCAGTACCCATCAAACCGGCAAGTAGCCCAGACCCACTGCTCCCCTGAGTGGGAGAGAGTGGTTCATCTTCCTCTAGAGGGGGTGGTCTCTACTGCTCACTTGTCTGGATCTGGCTGTGTCAGTGAGGGATAGTGTTTTCCCTGACATGGAGCAGGCAGCTGAACCAAGTCCACTAGAGGAGTAATAGGCCCAGCTGGTAGCTGTGGGGACCCTTGTTCAGCTCAGCTTTCATCCACATCAGAGCCAGCCTGCCTCAAGATTATCTCCACATTTGAATGTGGCTGCAGCATCTCACTTGGCTTTGGCTTCCCTCTTGCATGGACACTGAGCAGAAAGCTTGGCTGGGGGCCAAGGGTGTTGACCCTTTTCATGACAGAGCCAATACCAGAAGGTATAAACCACAGGACCTGGAGGAGAGTTTCTGCAGGCCTAAGCCCCTATGTCGAATCTGGGACTTTGTATTCAGCCACTGAACCTAGGATCCAAAAGGTTAGGGTCTCAGCCCCAAGTGGGGACTCCTCCAGAGCTCAAGCCCTCAGACCTGGAGCCAAGAGCTGCACTGTGGGGGCAGCTTGGAGACCAAGCTGACAGTTCCTCTGGTGGTTGGGAGCCAGCAGAGAAGCAGTTGAGTCTTTGTGTGTCTTGTTCAGGGAAGATTGGGCTGGGATCCTGTTTTGGCTGCTGGACAGGATCAAGCCTGGGCTGCTAGTGCTGTCTCTTGAGGAATCTTTTGCAGTACTTGTGGTACCTGGAGGTCCTAGGATGTAGTGTCTCAGCTGCTGAGATCTCACTATTCAGTCTTCCAGCTGTTTAGCTCTGCCTCAGAGCCTGCTCTCCCTTAGCCACCACATAGTACCAGCCCAGCCTGTGGTCTCTGGCTTCTGCTTCCCTGTCCCTTTTCTCCCAGCCAGACCCCCTTTCCCATAGATCAGACCCAAGGAGACCTGCAGTATCTGTGTTTTTGGATACAGGAGCCAAGAAGGAGTGGCAGAGGGACCAGATGCCTCAGTGCAGGGCCTGGGACTCAGTATTTGCTGAATCAATTTTGTTTAAATGAGATGATGGGAAGGACTCATTGCATGGCTCTCTGTCCTGTGGTGTGTGAGATTTCCATCCTCACTTTCAATGAGGACAGCCCTATGGTGGTGACTCACACAGGGACATGATTGTAAAGGCCCATGGCAGGATCTGATCCAGGATGGCAGCCTAAACCTGCCCAGGAGGATCTAGGGGGTGGGGAGTTTCCCTTCCAGAGGGGACAGGCTGGAGCAGGCTGGGCTCCAGGGCAGGACTGTATAGCCTTCTCTTGTTTGAACTTCACCTGCACTTCCTGCTTGGAAGGGCCCCCACATAGGTTGAACATCCAGCTGTCCACGTAAAGGCTGAAATGAACCCTTTGCCTTTGCCCTGGTAACTGCTCATTCCTTTTCCAGGAGTTTGGGGAGAAAAGGCTATAGGCTCAAATTGCCACAGGACCCTGTGTATGTGTGAGGTGAAGAGTGTGAGCTCTTTTCTAGGCAGTGTGATTTCCATCAAGATTGTACTTACTTTCCTTGCCATAAAGTTACCTGTTTCCCTAGATGGCAGCATCAGTAGCCCTGTGGCTGTAACATTCCTCATTACCCACATTAAATCTGAAAGTAGAAAAATGGACACAGATAACAAATGAGTGGTCAGCCATGACCATTTGTGAATAGCCAGGGGCATGAGCAAGGGCCCTTTGGTCAGTGGCGGCCACAAAGGCTCAGGCTTTAGGGAGGCCCCAGTTAGTGCCCTTGGAGTTGCCTGCCTGGTTTTGGCAATAAATAACATGAGGACCCAAAACCCAAAACAAAACAAAAAATACAACCAGTATCTCTTGGGGAAGGTGGTGGGAGACTGTTTAAATTACTGGCCTTCCCTGGGCCACGTAGGTGGTTGCTGGGCACAGGCAGCGTCCAGTCACCGGCACGTGTGCAATTCTACGAGCCGCTGGCATTGCCGGCATTTGACGAAGCAGCACCAGTGGAATTTGCAGCTGCAGCGTTCAGCCAGCTCTACCTGAGCCGTGTGGAAGCCGCGACCACAGCACAGCAGCTCACAGCCATCGATGGCCTTGGATGTCTTATTGCATGTGCGGCCTCTCGTGCCCAGCACGCCGCTGCGTATGTCCTGCTCACAAAAATCTGGGCTGGGCTCCAAGTACACCAAGTCCTCGTCTGTGTGTGGCTTGAACTGTGCATTGCGTGGCACCAGTGCCCTAGAGGAGCCCACACGGCGTGGCTCCACCTCGGTGGCGCCGTCGAACTTCTCCTTAAGTGCGTGGCCCACCTGGCGGAAGGGTGGCACAGCTCGCCAGCATGTCTTTACTTCGCAGGAGCCTGATACCCCGTGGCACTTGCACTCCACCCGCATGTGTGATAGGATAGCCTGTGGGGAGGGATAGGGAGAGTGGTCATTGGTAGAAGCTTTGGAGCAGCTGGGGGGCCCCAGAATTGGGGCCCCTAGGGGTTCATGCTGCAGAGGCAGAAGGGTTCACCGTCATGCTTCCTCAGTATTAAGCCCCCACTGTATACTGTGCTGGGCTGGTAAGTAGGCCTGGGGACAATTGAACAAGATGCTGTCCTGGCATTTGAGCACTTAGAGGACTGCCCCTAAGGGGCACTGTTAGGTGCAACAGTGGGTGAGAGGTGCTGTGATGGGCAGGGATCCTCTGCACTTAATCTTCACAGGAACCTCAGGAGTAGGCATTGAGAAGGCAGATGGTGTCACAGTTAAGCACATGACCTATGGATGATGGAAGGGGTCAAATCCCAGCTGTGCTGCTTGTTTGGAGTGTGTGTGTATTACACGGGCTGGGTGTGCACACACATGTACACATATATGGATGGGACCATGTACACTGGCTGTGTTAAACCTGCTTCCCATCCTGCCCGGTTTCATACCTCAGGAAGGTTCACAGTGCTGGTGAGGGCCCAAAGGACACTTCCTGCGGGCCGCTTGGGAGGAAGTGTTTCAGGGACCCTGCCTGCTGCTCCTATGTTGGTACTCAGGGCTGGGGGGTAGTGCATACTACCTTCCTTCCGGCCTCGTTGTTGTGGAGGTTCATGAGGGCCCGGCTGGATGAGGACCCCTTGCTTCTCTCCCGCACATCCACAAATGACTGTGAGAAGGCTACGCCATAGGCGATGTTGTCCGAGCATCCTGACCACTGGAAGCCTGAGGTGCAGAGAGCAAAGAGAGGGCCACAGTGAGTGTGGGCCAGGGGCCCACGCCCCTGCCCTCCCCTCTGACCACTCTTGCTCTTACCCTGAGGGCTGACACCATGTACCGTCCGATCACATCCACACTTTTCCAGCTCCCCACTGCTACATGCCCGAGTTACTGCAAAGGCCACACCTGCTGAAGAGATGGCATACACAAAGGCCGCCTCCCGAGTCCCTGTGGGAGGCAGAGGGAGGGCAAGGGTGGGTCCTTTGTGGAGAGGTAGGGGCACAAGGGGCCAGCTGAGTGTTGGAGGCAAAGAGAGTGAGCCAGGCCCGGAGTGGAATGGATCTCACCATGTCCCCAGCACTGCCCACTCCACTGGTGTGGACTAGCTTGTCCTCCCAGCAGCCCCACCAGGCAGTCCTGTCACCCCATTTTACAGAGAGGTGAGATGTTTTGTCATGGAGCATGTGGCTGAGCCAGCAGATGGCCTGGCCTCAGAGCCCGTGCTCAGTTCCCATGGGTCACTATTCTCACAATGTCTCCTGAAGACAAGTGATGGTCATGGTGTTTTATGGAAGATTGAGCAGTTCAGCAAGGTCAGCTGATTTACCAGTGCTACAGAGTTGTGCAACTGCAGACCTGGACTGCAACCCCATGTCTGGCTCCCTTTTAGGTCTATTCCCCAGCGACTTCCTTGGGGCTCTGAGGGTTGCCTCCATGACCTGCCTGGCCCTTCCTCTGAGGTTGGGCCTGTTGCTGAAAATGCCGTGCCTCCTTACGACTTTAAACCATAATACCAACAGCTCCACTACTTAACCCCTCCCTACTGATGATTGGGGTGCCCTCCACCCCCACCACTTTTAGCTGTATCCATCTCACTGAGGGTTGGAAGGGCTTGGTTCTGGTTGCATAGCCAGGAGGCTGCAGAACCAGGACTCCAGTAAGTTCTTCCTGCCTCTCCTCTACCCATGACTGTTCTGCAGTTCTATTTTGGTGCCAGCCTCCTCCCTGCCTGAATGGATGTTTTTATCCTAGGAGCTGTGCCTGGGGTGTAGCTGCTGTGAGATGTCTTTCTGGGGTGAGGTGGGGTAGTATGTGAGCAGAGTGCACTCGGTTGGGTGTGTGACCAAACAGCAGGCCCTGCTCCTCTTCTAGGCCTGTGAGGGCCTCTGTGTGCTGTGACTGTCCTTCTGTCTCTGGCCAGAGGGTCTGTGTCTATAAGAGTGGTGGGGCAGGCTTTGGCCCTGTGGTTGGCAATTACCTCTGTGACACCCAGGTCTGTACTCCCAGCTGCCCCAGGGAGCAGTCACCGTGGTTAGACAGAAACAATCAGCTCCTCTGTCCCTGGGTCTGTATACAGAGGCAGGAGAAGCTGAGCACTTGGGTGGGAGGCAACTCAGCCCCGAGCACTCAGGACGGCCTGTTCTTGGTGTAACCCTTGAGCTGGGGGTACTGGTACCACCCTCTCCACTGCCACTCTCTGCTCTGGCTTGGGCATTTTGGGCCAGCATTAGAGGGCCTTGGCTGGAGCAATGGAGCCTCGACAGCCTAAGATGGAATCTTCTCCAAGTTAATTGAGGTTAATAGCAGGATCATGTTGGTTGGTTTTATGCTGTGGCTGCCTGAAGGGAGACGACTTCAATTTTTGGTATTTCTGGTATTTCCAGGCCTGAACCAGCACAAATCTTTGCCCCAAAGACCAAAGGGGAAGGGAAGTCAGAGCAGGAAATGGGGATGATGGGACTGGTGAGCAACTTCAGTCCTTGGTCTTTTATAGTCCTTCCTCCTCTGCTTCTTTTGGCTCGCGGGCAACTACTGGCCCAACTTCAGCTCTGGGCTGACCTCTGCTTCTAAGTGTTAGTAGACCTTGGGGTGCAGGTCTCCCTGTGAGGTGGTTGAGGGAGATGGGTACCTCATTTTCTAAACAAGAATCCATTGACTGGGACTCCAAGTCCCCTTTGCCCTGGCCTCATGGGAGCAAGGACACCATATCCTAGCTCGAGAGTAGCCCTGAAGGAAGAGACTCTTTTAAGGTAATAACAGAAGCTAAAGGTCATAGAGAACTTAGCGTGTGCACTAAGTACTTCACATATTACTTTATATACTCTTCACAACAACCCTAGGAAGTAGATCCTTTTAACCCTCCTTTTTTTTGTTTTTTGTTTTGTACCGGGGATCGAACTCAGGACTTTGCGCTTGCAGTGCAGGCGCCAGAACCACTGAGCTAAATCCCTGGTCCCTTAGCCCTCCTTTTACAGATGAAGAAACAGGCACTGAGTAGTGCCTTGTCCAACAATACCCAGCCAAGAGGTGGTGTAGCCAGAATTTGAACTCACACCTTGACATTGTCGAGACCCACAGAGGCCTTGGATTCTGGGAATACACATGCACTTGATCTTCTTGCACCTCTTGTGTATGAAGCCAAGGAGGGTTTCCTTAGGTCTGCCCTGCCCTAAATCTCATGTGGTGCATAAGCCCAGTTCTCTTGTGGGGTTTTCACCAGGGTGTGGTGAGCAGTTGGCCTGGAGAGTGTGGGTGTGCTGCTATGCCCCTGAAGCCTATGGCAGCCGCTCCTCCACCCTTTGGACTTAAGTGCTGTGGCCCCTCACACCTCTTCACCCAGGGAACCAGGTTGGAGCCCTGTTTTCTAGTGGAAGACCTAACAGAGCTTGCTTTCCTCAGAGGTTGCTCATACTTAGGGCACTGGGATTCGGGAGTGCAGCAGTGGGGAGTTCCCCAGCGATGTGGAAGATGCTGTGCCTGTTGCTGCTGCAGGAGGTGGTCATCCTTGCTTTGTCCTCTCTTAGACCTGGGTAAGGCAGAGCTCTCAGGTTCCAGCTGCTGCCTGCAGCCTTCCTCCTTTCTGTTACAGCCATTTGCTCTTCTTACACCCATCTTCTTTCTACTGTGATTGCTTCCCGGAGCCCTCTATCTCCTGGCTCTAGGTCTAAGTCCTCTAGGTTCAGCCTTAATGCCACCTCTTCCAAGGGACTTAGTGATCAGCACTCTGCAGCCCTAATCTGAAGAAAATGTGCGGCCCAGTGGCTTGCCTGGGTCCCTCAGCTGGGAATGGCTGAGTGGGAACTGGAACTGAGACCCATCTGACTCAAGACTTGGGGTCTTGGGCTGGGGATTTAGCTCAGTGGTTCCGCCACCTGCCTTGCAAGCATAAGGACCTGAGTTCAATCCCCGGTACCAAAACAAAAACAGACAAAAAAAAGACCTGGGGTCTGTGGAGCACATTAGTGTCTACCCAGATGCCAGAAGGAAGGACATTCAGGACATTTGGAGGAGAACTGGCTGAGACTGAGTTGGGCCAGCAAGGAAGCCATGGGCCTGGTGATGCCCTGGGCAGTGGAAGTCCAAGGGAGGGGGGTGACAAACAGGCTCTGGTCTGTGAGAAAAACCACTTTGAAGAAGCCTCTGGATTTAAGAGACAATGTAGGATGGGGCAAAGAAGAAAGTCTTTGGGGCCAGACAAAGCCATTACTCATTTGTGATGTGACCTTCCTTTCTGAGGAGTCTCAGCTTCCCAAATGTAACACGGAGACAGTGCTGCCTCAGCAGCCCAGGCCCTCATATGTCCCCTGTATCCCATCCTACTGTTGTGGTCTTCCTGGGACTTCAGACTCTCTAACTGGCCTGCCTGCCTCATGCCATCAGAATCAGACCATGGATAGTTTTATCTTCCAGTTGTCTCATGTGTTTGTGTGGCCTCTGCAGCCTGCAGGAACTCCAGTTGGGAGTGTCTTTGGAGTACATCTTCCTGAGAGCTAAAATTCATCCGATGGCATCGGAAGGCTGGCCAGAGAGGTCTCTGGGAAGGAAAGAAAGTTCTCCCCCTCCCTGCATCTAACCTGATACTAGTACTAAGAATAAAAGCAAGAGAGCACAGGTTTTTGGGAGGCTCCACCTAGAACTGAGGAGCATTTACTTAATTAAGTCCAGCCTGCTGAGATGGTCAGGAAGGTGCTCTAGATGAGTCAGACACATAGGCCTGGATTTGAACCTTTCTTTGCTACAGCCAGTATAACACATTGCCTCCCCGCCATGGTGGGCAGAGCCTGCAGGAACCTTGGGGCTGTTTGAATCTTGGAACTTGATCAAGGTCACTGCAAGACATGCTAACGGCAGGAGGAGGCTTGGCACTGTACAGGTGGAGAAAAGCATGAAAGGAGTTACCTTTCCTACTCTTCCTCATGCTGCTCAGGCTGGTCCACCTTGAGACCCAGCACAACTCTGTCAAGTTCCACTGCCTCCCTGCCACCCTCAAACCCTTCCATTCATGTACCATGTGCTTGCTGGTACCCAATGTGTGCAGGTGCTGTGAGACACAGGGGACCTCCCTCATCTGGCTCTTAATGTCTACTGAGGCAAGAATTGCCACATTCCTGCTTTCCTGGCTGCCATGAACACCATCTTTATCAAGTAGTTTTTTCAGTTTAGAGCACATAGCTTGGCCCTAAATTACATACTGGCCTCACTGTTTATCATTCTTTCTCCATCTGTCCTGTCTCTAGGCCAGGAGCAGGGGTGGCCTCCACTGCTTGGGGTTTTGGGGGCTGTGAGACTTAGGACAGTGCTGGCACTGGGAGACCCCATCCCCCACCCCCAGCACTGTGGGAACTGGGCAGCCCTTTAGAGACACTGTCTCTGAATCCTCCTGGAATCCTAGGAGGCTGGTCTGGGTTTGTCCTCATTTTATAGGAAAGAGGATCCTGGGGCTTATAGAGGGTAAAGAGGTGGCAGGTCCAGGACCTGGGTGCAGTATCCCCTTCTGCTCCCAGAGCCATCACGAGAGCACACCATAGGCCCTCAACAAATGAGGGTTTCTTTTTTTTATCTAGGATGGGATATGTTAGCTCTGCCTCTTCTGTGCCTGAGGCCATGACTCCAGCCAGGCTGCTCACATATGCTGCCACCTGCCAGGTTCCTCACCCCTAGGGGTGAGGGGGATTACAACAGGCCTGCCCAGACTGGTGGTTGCTGAAGATGACAGCCATTGGTAAGGACAGGTAGCTCTTGGATCAGGGCATACATGAAGGACTTCCCACACATTAAGTCACTGAACCTTGGTGACAGCCATATGAGGTAAGCATGTGACAAGTGTGGACCCTGAGGTTCAGTCAAGAGAAGTCACCTGCCCAAGGTCTGCTTGCCCATGCTCTCTGCCTCATCAATCCCTGGGTTTCCCGAGAGCCATTGCTTTGTTCAGTCTGGAGATGAACAAATCCCTTTTCCTCTTGCTCAGCAGGGATCATTTAATGTTCTAAGAGGAATTTTTCTATGGAAGAAAAGTAAAGGTACAAAAGGTTTGGTGAGTGGAAGGGCTCAGACTTGTCTGCCAAATGTGACTGGCATCTGCCTGCTGTGGCTAGCCTGATTTCAGCTCCAAGGGAACTGGTCACTTGACTGAATTTTAGTCCAGAGCAGCTTCCACCAGGCCTGGTAGTGTTCTTGTATTCCCCAGAACTAGCTGACCAGGTCTAGGTCCCTTTGAGACTTCTGCCCACAGTGAGGAGGGCACTCCTGGTGGGGTCCTGAGGACCTCTGCTGGATTCCTGCCAGCATTGACACACACTTCACCTTTGCCCCTTCAAGTCCTTATCTCGGACCTGCTTTCCATTATTAGATGGCATCCACTGACTGTGTCCATGCCAGGCTTGGTCATGTGCCAGGAAACAGGTAAGTGAGCTGTCACCCTCACCTGGGATGACCTGAGGACTCAGTGATGGTAATCAGGCGGGGAGATATCACTCTTCAGTCTGAAAGGTGCATTGAAGCAGTGGGAATACATGTTTTAGACAAAGATATATATGATAGGCAAATTGGTTAAATGTAAACAGTTGATAAATCTAAAAACTAGTGCACAGGAATTCCTTGTAATATTTTTGCAACTTTTCTGTAAGTTTGAAATGGTATTTAGAAAGTTACAAAAAGAGGCCCCCCCCGCCCCCCAGTATAAACAGAGCTTCAGAGCCCAGAGGGAAGGGCTTAGAGAGAACCAACTGGTCAAGAAGGGGTGTGATAGATCTGGCATATGCAACCTGTGGATCTATACACCAATCTGTCCAAAACACACTCCTTGCATACCCACTGTGGCAAGGGAGTTCCTAAGGCTGAGGTCTACTCTATATGAGGTGGGCTCCTGGGCCTCACCAACCTGGCATCACTGGGTCCTGGGCAGTGGCACCTTCATCCTGGGAGATTCTCTGCTGCCAGGCTGCTCACTGGGTCTCTGCTACTTTTCAACAGCAGTGATGTTCGGCAGTGCAAAGCATGACCAAGCCTTTTTGACCCCTATCAGCTCCCAGGAGAATGGTTTCCAAATTTCTATCACAGTTGGTTTCCAGCAACAAATGGCTTGCCAGGAGCCCAGCAGCCCTGGCTATCCAGGCCTTTAGGCGCCAAGACAAAGGTTGGCCCAGGCAATTCATTCCTGCAGCCAGAGGAAGGGCCGTGTCAATTATCGGTTGCTCAGAAGTGTCAGCCTCATGCTCAGGAAATAGAAAAAGAGGCAGCTGGGTTAGAGCACTTCCTCGAAGGTGGGGCTTGACTTGGTGTTTCTTAAGGAGACTTCCAGTTCAACAGAAGCTCCTCTGTGCCCTGGCCCCTCTCTCTGGTTTAGTCCCTCCTTGCATTTCTGGTTTCAATGGAGGACCTACCTCCTTGGGAAAGCCTTCTCTGAACACTTCAGCCCTAGCCAGGGAAGGTGTTCAACTTCCTGTCCTGTGCATCATGAGTAAGAAAGAGTACAGACCCTGCAGCACGATGCCTGGGTTCAAGTCCTGGCTTTACCACCTTCTAGTTCTGTGATCTTGGGCAAATGACTTAACCTCAGTTTCTTCATATGCAATATGGAAGCCTATGAGAGTCCCAGAAGGGTCAATGAGTATGTTACTTTCAACACTTACACAGTGTCTGGCCCACTGTTGGTGCCATAGGTGTGTAAAACACTATTCCTATTGTGCGCTGGTTGCTGACTCGCCTGTCTCCCCACCAGCCTGTGTGCCCAAGAGGACAAAAGCTGTGTCTCAGGGCTGGCCATGTTGGAGCTGCTCCTCAGGGCTTGTCCAATGTGCAAATCAGTGAAATGGCCTCAGGTATCCAAGGCTGATGCTAAGGTGGGAAGAGCACTGGGCTGAGTGAGGGTTGGAGTCCCAGGTCTGAAGCCTGAGTCTTCTCTCCCCTACTCTGAGGAACCCCAGGAAGTTCAGTCTCATCCCTTACCTGAACCTCAGTTTTTCCCTCTGTAAAACAAGGAGTGCAGCTCCTGTTCACAGTCCCCTGAGACACCACACTGCAGGCAGCAGGGTCCTGCGTGGATGGCCCTGTCCGGGATTCACCTCCACCCCATCATCCTGTCCAGTGCCTCTGCTGCCTTCCTTATAACCTCCCATTGGCCCAGCTCACATTGTTTCTGCTTCAGACTTTGACTTTTCTGGCCATTCATGAGGGTATCATTTCCTGGGCAGGACCCGCACCCTGGTGCCCTGCAGCCCTTGCATGACACCTCACCTTGCGTCACCACCTTGCCAAAGACAGGCAGGGAATCGAGTGTGGAGCAGTTCCAGCGCCGGTTCCGAAACTGGTACTGGCACTCCTCGATGGCCAGCTGGGCTCCGCGACGCACTGAGTCCATCACCTCCAGGTTCCTCTTGCACATCTGCACTTGCCTCTGGATCAGGCCCTTGAGCTTCTCACAGGTCTCCTCCTCCGAGATGCTCCCCACTGAGGACAGCTTGGCCAGGTACCTGGTGACAGGGGCAGAAGTGATGTAGATCAAGCCCAATGCCTCAGCCTCCTCTTTCCACACTGGGGCTCTGGGAGTTGCCTGTCCCAGAAACTGGTCCTGCCTGCCTCCCAGGGCTTGGGGTCTGTGTGTAAAATCTGACACAGTCTCAGAAAATGAGGCAGGAACTCGCCACTGAATGAAGGAATGATGACCAAGTCAAAAAGTACATAGATAGTCCTATTAAAATATGGACAATTGATAATAAGGGTAGCTAAATTTTAAAAAATAAAACCCAGTCAGGACTGGGCTAAGTATATCATTGCCTTAAATCCTTTCAGTGAGCCTATGAACCCCACTTTTAAAGAGAAGGAAATGGAGGCACAGATAAGTAATTTGCCTTGTGTGCAGGGTTGCATAGCCAGTGAGAGGTAGAGTGGATTTGAATCTGGTTTTGCTGACTTCACCGCCTTGTGACAGTTTTCTTTTATGTGACTCAAGGACTAGAACTGACAGTTTGGACAGAGTCTCCTAGGACTGGGTTCACTCAGCCTGGGGATCTCAGCCAAGGTAGTGTCAGTTACCTGCCTCCCTACACCAGGCAGCAGCCAGGTTCTATGGGTCAGGCATGTGGTTGGAACAGAATGATGATTCTCAAATCTGGCTGTGCATTGGAAACATCTGTGGGGATGGAAAGCACAAGTGCCTGGGCCCACCTTAGGTGGGGCTTGGTGTGCATCTGAGTTTTGGACCTGTCCACAGGCTGAGCTGGGAAGCCACTGGCCTGGTGAGCAGTCTTGAGGAAGCATTGGTGGTTTTTCCTTCTGAACCCAAGGGGCCTCAGTCTGGGACACTGCTGTCCACCTCACTGTGGCATCAGCCTCTGGACAAGTCTCATTTGCTCCTGGCTATGGGATCCAATCTGGCTTTCCATATCTGTAATGCAGTAATGGTTCCAATCCCAGAGGACTGCTGTGAGGAATGAATATGATTGGGTGTGGTGGCGTGTCTGATGCTCAAGGTATACCTTCCATGCTAGGAGCCTGGTAATTGTGATGATCTCTCCCTTCCCTAGTAGCAGGTGGGTGAGTGGGAGAGGGGTGGTCTCAGAGCAAGGCAGTACAGCTTCCCCTTGCCTCCCTGGTCTCCCAAGTTCCCTCTCCTGTCCCCTATTTTCTGTCTACCAGGTCCTGCCTAGAGACTGGTAATGTCCTGGCCAGGGAGAGGAGGCAGGAAGGGAATGCATCTGGTGGTGGTGGTGGGATGACTGGCTCCCCAGCTCCCCCTGGTTGCCCCCCGCTTAAACCACTAGGGAAGGGATCTCCTACAGGACCAGTCCCACAAATTTGTTTTGGCCCGCAGGGGGCGCCAAGAACTTAGCTACTGGCGATGGGCCAGGTCCATGTTTGGGAGACCATAGGTGTCCTTTGGTGAGAGGACAAGGAATTGAGCCTAACATTGGATCTTTTCTTTTTGGAACAGGGTGGGGCCCTTTATTCCCTCTATGATGTGGGGGCACAGAACTGGCCTGTCCCCAACTAGGCCTCTGTTCTCTCTGCCCAGCTGGGGCGGGGGGCTAGGTCTAGCCGTGCAGAGCCCTGGCCTTTGGTGAAGGGAGGCATTTCAGGGTGAGGGTTCTCTGGGAGGAGGAGCAGGCTAGGGAGGCTGGCTGAGTCCCCAGCCTACTGGGACTCCGGGACAAGCCTTCTCCCCACTGGGGGCCTGTCTCTTCATGCATACAATAAATAGGTCTGCATGGCCTTTCCTGCTGTTGGAATCTGTAGTCCTCCTTCTACTGGCAGATATGGGCAGTCCAGGCCTCCAAGGCCTCCTGGTCCCATGCTAGGCTAGTAGAAGGAGCCCTTACCATTGAACCAGGGGAAAGGAAGGCCCAAGTTGCCACACGCTCTTCCTCTAGGCTTGGAAGCACAGTGGGGAAACTGGCTGAACTAATAACAGCAGGGTTTAGGGGGAGCTGTTAGGCTGCCATGGCTGTGAGTCACTGGGACAGCTTCCAGGAAGAAGACGAGAAACTGCTTCTGGTGGCACCAGTGCCCACTGGCCAGCCCCTGCCTTCACCTGGCACAACAGCTGCCCCTTCTGTGCATGGGAGGCTCCCCTCCCTCCCAATCAAAGGAGTTTGTCTAGGTGGAAGGTGGGCTGGGTGCCAAAGCTGAGGCACAGGCTGGAGAGTCAGGACCCTGGGTGTCATGGGCTTTGGGCTGCATGCTTTCTGTTGGCTTGTCCTGCTATCTGGTATTAGTTTATAGACAAGCACACTGAAGCCCACAGAAGTGAAACAAAGGAGTTGCAAAGTGGCAAAGTCCCTTAGTGAGCAGCAAGCAGCTTTGTCTCAACCCTCTTTCCCCTGTACCCGGCTGTGGATCTGCCCTGCTGAATGGCTGGGGGCTGGCATCTCACTGTGTAACACATCAGGCCACATGCAGCATACAGTGCATAGAAGGTGTTCAGTAAATGCTTGCTTGCAGGTGGTCACGGTGGTATATGCCTGTAATCGTAGCACTTGGGAGGCTGAGGCAGAAGGATTCCAAGTTTGAGTCCTGCCTGGGCAACTTGGCAAGACTCTGTCTCAAACTAAATAATAGAAAGGACTAGTGTCATGGCCTAGGGTTCAATTTCCCAGTACAAAAAAAAGGAAAAAAATTTCACCATGGCTCATGGCATGGAAGGCTTTGTCCTGATGAGGTCCCCTCTGCTCACCTACTGGCAAGGAAGAGCAGGAGTGAGGGAGAAAGATGGGGGGCTTCTGAGGGCTGGACACAACTAGTCCTGAGGACTTTGGGAGCTCTGCCCGCCTCCATGGTAGCTCAGCTTTTCCTTCTGAGATATGTATGGCACTCGCTGCCCATGGAGCCTGGCTGAGATCAGATATTGACTGCAAGGCCATTTCTGGAGGGACACAAAGCCAGGGCCTACTGGGTGTCACTGTTGCTGACCTGGGCTCATGTGGGGGCCCCAGCCATCACTTTGTCTTCTCCTGTTCTGGTTGCTTGTACTGCCCCACTTTAGGCTTCTTCCTGGTGCTGCTGAGTATAGGCTTAGCAATTGGCCACCTGCCCTGGCCACCTAGGACTCCAGCTACGGTTGTGCCATTGATCAGGTTACCCTGCCAGCCGAGGCTGCCCCTGCTGTGCAGCCAGCCTGCTCGCTTGTGCCCTGGTCTCAAATGGGGGCTGCAGGTCCTTCAGGCTCCTCCCAAGAGGCCCTCCCCGCTCAGCCCATGCCTGCAGCCTGCAAGGCCGGAGGGCCCTGGCCCTGCCAGGGAGATCAGATCCTCTCGGCCACCTGCTGTTTTCACTAGAAACTAAAATTAGCTGGGCTTGTCCCAAGCTTTTCCAGGTTTGCTTGCTTTTTTAAACAAAATATACAAATTTCTCTAGGAGAATCCCCACCTCTGTGACTCTTCCTGGGATCTGACTCTGTGTGTCAAAATGAGTGGAGAAGTGCTGGAAGTCTAAGCAGGTCAGTGTCCCAGGCCCTGGCCCTGTGGGTGTCCAGGTGGGGGATGGGATGCCAGCCCAGGCCTCTTTGCCCCCTCCCTTTGGCCTCCCTGCTGCCCGGGCCACATTTAGAGCCTCCTCAGGAGTGGTTGTGCCTATGATACCAGGGAGGAAGGAGGCCAAGTGGGCGGGCGGGAGAGCGGAAGGAAACGGAGTGTCTGCTGAGTATAGCCGCCTTGGGGAACATGGATGAAGAAGCAAGACGACCACAGACCCCATCCAGGACTAGCTTCTCATGGTTCTTGAGGATCCTCACCATAGCCCCTGTCATTTCAAGATCTTTGAATGTTTCTATAACCATGGTCTGCATAGCCTGCCGTTTCCTGGAGGGTCCTGGAAACCCTTGTTCCTCCTCATGGCAGGCAGTGTGGGAAGGGGATGTACGGGATCAGAATCCCATCTCCATGTCACTTCAGCTGAGTTAGTGAACATCTCTGAGCCTCAGTATGTTCATCTGTAAAATGGGGCCAGTAGTAGTTCTAATCCCAGGAGGCTTAAATGAATGAAGTGTGCCTGTGATGGGTGCCTTCCCCGGAAGCCTCCTGCTGCCCTTCAGGCTGCACCCTTGGCAGGGCTTCAGAGAGACCACACTGGGCTCTGTCCATTCATTTTTCATTGGCTGGGCTCTCACTGCCCTATTACACCTGGGTCCCCATCTTTCTTTGGCGGAGCACACCTGGGGGTGGGACACACTTCCATCAGGAGCGGGGGAATGGCTTCCACTGCCATCCCCACTGCAGATGTGGAGTTTGCAGCGTCAGAGAATGGTCTAGTGATTCTGACCCATCTGCCTGAGGCCTGGGGTGTGAGGGATGGCACTTTCAAGAGAAGGGCCAAGGCGTTGGCATCTAGGACAAGCTCAGATGTGCCCAGGAGAAGTGAAAATGGTTTGGGGAATGGGAGGTGATTAGAAGCATGGGCCTCACCATCCCGTCATCTTTGCCATCAGCCAATAGTCACGTGCGTCAACATACCCTTATTACAACAGTGCAGGGCTGGCCATTCGTGTGTCTTCCCCCACTTTACAGATGGGGAAGCTGAGCCCCCAGAGGTATGTGTGTGTATATATGTGTATATATATACATTTTTTTGTACTGGGGATTGAACTTGGGACCTTGCACTTGCGAGGCAGGAGGCGGAACCACTGAGCTAAATCCCCAGTCCCCCAAGAGGTATATATTGAAGGCCATGTGGTCAGCCAGGGGTGGCCAGGACTTGAAAACAGGTCATTCTGGTTTCTGAGCCAGGGCTGGCTGCTCAGGCACCAAAGATGGCAGGAGAAGCTGGCATCACCAGATACTGGCCTGAGTGAGGTGGCCAGGGCTGGCTGCTCAGGCACCAAAGATGGCAGGAGAAGCTGGCATCACCAGATACTGGCCTGAGTGAGGTGGCCTGATTGTTTCATGGATGGGTCTTTTTAGAGCCCTGTCTCTTTTTTTTTTTTGGTACCAGGGATTGAACTCAGGACCTTGCGCTTGCAAGGCAGGCAGCAGAGCCACTGAGCTAAATCCCCGGCCCCCCTGTGTCTTTTCTAAACCATAGCAAGTATGTTGGGTGCTTCCAGGAAGGAGGGATTCTGGGAAGGGTGATGTCTACTGTGGCAGCCTGGACAGTGAGTTCTGGGCTGTGGTCTAGGTGTCTGCTGGGGTCATGGAAGGAGGTTCTGTTGCTGGCCTGAAAGCCCCGGAGGACACCCAGTGGGGAGGGGGCAGCATTGGAGACACTCATGGTGGCTGGGGGCAGGCACCACCTCTGCCCCACTTTCTCCCAGCCTTGGCAGGATTCCAGGGCCTTCAGTGTCCAGGCCCAGTTCCCTGGGCCCCACATGCATTTCCTCAGGGGAGCCCACACCTGTCTCCTGTGTCTTAGGGCCTTCATTTCTGTCTGTCTCCTGGGATCCCACCTCCCTTTCTCTCCATTCCCAGTAGCCTCAGGACCCTCATTTCTGTCTCTTGGCTTCTCTGTCTCTATGACTTACAGTATCCTGGTGCTTCATCCCATAAACTACTCCTGGCAGCTCTAAGTCCCCCACTTCCTATCAGCCCCCCTCCCATTTCCATCTCACTTCCCCAGGGGAGCTGGTGGCTGACCTACGGCCAAGAAGGAGCCACTCGGACCTGAGCCTGGATGGCTCCGGTGCTGTGCCAGGAGGTAAGAATTTTCCTTCTCTGCCTGAGGCAGGTGTAGTTGTGGGGCCAGTGGGTATCAAGTTTAAGGCACATCCTGACCTCACCTTGCCCCCTAACTTGGCAGTAGAAGCTTCCCCTTTGTGGAGACCCACCCAACCCTCGTCCCTAGAGAGCCTTTCATGCCCTGTGGCCACTGAACCATGGATGTGCCCTCCCTGGCTGGGATGGGGGAGGCTGGGGGTGGGGAGCAGTGTGGGACAAGGAAACTGGCTTCTCTGTCTTGTCCGCAGCCAGTGCTGGCTTCCTGGAGTGAGGTTCCAGGTTTCCAGTGAGTCCCTTGGCCTGCGCAGGGACCTTCTAAAGGTCCAGTCTTGAAGATACTGTGACTGACCCCCCATACCCATCCCTACCAGAGCAAGAGGGCAAACCTTGGTTCCTCCCTTGCTCCAGCTGCTCATCCTCTCCTGCACAGAATGCCTGGTTAGGGGAATGGGGCTCCAGACCTGCTTTCATCTGGAGCAGGTAGCATTCTGAGAGCACAGTCAAGAGACCCGGATGGAGCTTCAGCTTTACCACCAATATGCTGTGTGACCCTGCATAGTGCCTAATGCTAGTGAATGCCTGACATGTTTGCAAGGGGCAGAGCATGCACTCCCCTGTCTGGAGGCTCAGTGTTCCTGAAAACTCCCCAGCCCTGGTATCTGTGATTTGTCCTTGAAGCCTGGGGTTCCAGGACAGCAGGGCACCCCTGATT